AAAAAAAAAAAAAAAAAAAAAAAAAACAGATCGAAAGCGTTGATAAATGTTGCAGCAAATTTGTATAGAAATGTGCACGTGTCTCGTCGATTCGATGATTCTCGACTGTTCGTAGAGAGCATGAATAAACGAGGTGTGCAGCCATTACTGTCAATACTGGGTGAGATCGGTGGATGGCCGATAATAACCGGGCGGAACGAGTGGAACGAGAGTGGACAGAAATGGCAGAATATCGACGACCATTACGCTCATTTACGCGGATTTAATTTGTTGCACGACGTCCGGGTCGTGCAACAAATTAAATCAGCTGATGCCAAAGAGAAGACTGCGGTTGTAAGTTTTGCATCGATGCAACAACTTTGCAAAATTCGTTTCGAGAATTATCTTTCAGCTGGACGTTCCCAGCATGCCGCCATACTCGTGGATGCTGTGGGAGTTGTTCGACAATCAGACGCTTGGCAGCATAAAGGATCTGAATTATTGGAAGTACGGTGTGAGGATAGTTTCGAAAATAGCCGAGTCCGGAGGATTTCACGTAGTGAAAGACGAGTTGGAAAAAGACATGGAAGAGATATTTAATTTCGAATGGAAATTGTCAAAGGTTCTATAAATCTCTAACTTCCTTGGAGGAATCAGAGATTTTTATGTTAACTATATAATTTGCAGATATCTAGTATGGTCGATGATTACGTGAACATGACTGTGAAAGAGTTTCAGAGATGGTACGATAGCTTGAAACCGCGTACAGAAAACGCTAGAGTGAGTGTAATTTTGTATTTTTGGCGGGAAATTTTGAGCTGTTTTGAGAGAGATATTTTTTTTTTTTTTTTACAGATAAATTGGGTAGACAAGGTAATGGGGATTTTTAGAGAATCAGGTATCGACATCACTGAAGACACCGTGTTAAAAGTATCCTCACCCGGTTACTATGAAAAGTTAGTCTCCCTGCTCGACGAAACTGCAAGCAGGATTATAGGTAAGAGCATTCGTGAGTTTTTCGAAATACATTCACTTATTGTTTTTATATATTACACTATTCGTGTAATAGTGAATTATCTACACTGGAATTTCGTCTCATCGATGATCACAGAAACTACCGACGAGATGAGAGAATTGGACGAGAAGATGACCGAAAACGATTCGAACGAACAACAAAACAGGTTTTCATAATAGATCGTAGATTTTTATGTACGAACTTCTTTTATGTACCACAAAAAAAAAAAATCTACAGTTGTCCAAATGTCTTCTCTGCTCGCGAGAAAGATTAAGAATTGACTTCGTGAAGAGAAAAAAGAAAAAGAAATTCGAAAACTTAGAAATCTCCTAATTTCTCGTGGAATTTTGGAATTTTTGAAGACGCGGGAATGTGCAGATTTCTAAATTTCTGAACAGATGCTAAAGACTCTTCTGCTTAATTGCGATATTGACAGTGTTGACGAAAATTGAAGTCGCACGTTCGACGTGGAAACCAGAAATAATTGGGATTCGTTATCTTGCATTAAATCTGACGCAACTGTGGAAAGTAGAGCAGCGACTCGGGTAAAATTCCGATATAGTGCAATTAAGATTATGGCGTGCACGGGAGGCGTAGCGACACGTGGCGGCGATTTAATTTGAATTAGTCGTACGAATCACCCAGCCACGGGCGGCGCGATTATTTTCGAATTATTATCGCAGGTCAGACTTGTGCATCAAGGAGGCGGGGATAACAGATGTCGTCGCGTACGAATACGCGAAAAGATATTTCTCCGATGACGTGGCGAAAATGGTAAAGTTTTAATTGCCGTATGTACGTAAAGAAAAAAAGAGCAAATTCTGAGTTTACGCGTACAAAGTTCGAAATTCTGATGAAAATTTCTAATGTTCTGACGTTGAACTAGACGTTGAACGCGTTAGATGACATGGAGGAGGAAATGAAGATCGAGATCGGAAAATCGAATTGGGCTAACAAGGAGATAAAAGACTTGGCGCTGAGAAGAGTCAAATTTGTAAAGAAGAATATTGGTTACCCGGATTGGTACGACAACGCCACCATCATGGAAAATTATTTTGGAAAGGTCTGTCGATTTCCTTTGCTCGCAAAGGCGACTGGAAATTGGAAGAATTTTGTGATGTGATTTTGGTTGGCTTGCAGCTCACCATGGGACCGACGTATTTCGAAAATGTTTTGAGATTCCAGAGATATTACAAGTTGAAAGAATTGCGTCTCTTGAAGCATAAAGACGCAGCAAAGTCGTAAATATTAATCATTAGAATTTGAATTCGTGTCACAATTTTTACGTCAGTATTATAATCGAATGTTAAGCAGAGCTTTCTTATCTACAGATGGATTGTCGATCCTTTGACGATCAATGCGTTCTACTTGAGCGAATCGAATTCAATCAGTAAGTTTCTGTTAGTTTTAACATAGCACAAACACTAAAATAAACAGACAAGGTTTTCATTTTTTATAATTACGCTCAGCCGTGCCATTGGCGAACCTGCAGAGACCCTTTTTCAGCAAGAATCAGCCGAAGTGCGTGTAAAAATCTCTCGTTAGTTTTTGCTCGATCTTTGGAAATCTCTAATTGCAATATTTTTCCAACAGTACGATCAACTATGCGTTGACTGGATATTTATTAGCTCACGAATTGCATCATCCATTTGACGAGCTAAGTAAATAACCTTTGTCGAGAAAAGTCTACGTTATCTTGTAATTGTTTCGTTAACTCGAATATATTTTTAGAACGTCTTTTCAATGAACGGGGCGAGGAAATAAGCTGGCCAGAAGCAATGACTGAACAGTATTACAAGAGTGCCCAATGCTTCGTAGATCAATACGACAATTATACTTTGAATGGAACACCTTCTGGCCCAAAAGTGAAGGTAACGATGTATGATTTGTTTACAATTTACTCGTTTATAAAGAGTCGTTGTAAAAAGTATCCACGAAGAAAATGAAACTATTTATTTATGGAATTATGTCGAATTTATTGTTACTTTTATATGAAAATTACTTAACAGAATTATGAGAATTCGTCGATTTGTTATCTATTCATTGAAATAAAACTTATCATTATTTATTGTTATTCGCTCGTATTTGACACGTCAATTATTTAACAGAATTATGGCAATCAGACCTTCGACGAAAATATGCCAGACACCATGGGACTGAAAACTGCTTTCAAAGCGTACAAACGAAGGGAAATTATAAACGGCGTACCAGAATTGAAATTGCCCGGTTTACGAATGTTCGACAACGATCAACTTTTCTTTCTGTCGTCTGCCAATGTATGGATTCTAATAAAAATGTCGGGCCTTCCTACGAAATCAGTTCATCAAATCTTTCCATGTTCCAAGAATTGTTTGTTCAATTTTCTCTTTCGTTTTTAAGTTATGGTGCGAAACCAGAGATGCCGAGGCTATAGTTACAGAAGCGAAACTGGACATGCACAGTATCGGACGATTAAGATCCATCGGAGCACTCTCGAACAATGAAGACTTCGCTGAAACGTTTTCATGCCCACCGGGCAGTCCTATGAACCCCAAGAAGAAGTGCAACATTTGGAAAATATAATACATCGTAATTGTCAAAATTTAAGACTGCCACTGTGAAAATGTAATGAAAAAAAAAGAAACAAAAAAAAAACAGGGAAGTGAAACGTTTTAATAATATTCACTAAAGACGTATGTGACCTATCCCTTTCCTCAGATCGTTTAAGAAAATAAATTTAATTTTGAAACGAGTGATTTGCAAGGAATAACATAATGTGCTTCTTTATTTAGGACAATATTTGTAGAAATATTTCTTTGACGAGTCCAATAAAATATCTTTCATAAAATCGAGTTTGCGGTATAAAGGTAATTCATTCGGACGGTGAATTTACATATTTGTAAATAAAACAACTAATTGCATTATTCATAAAAATATCACGATTCGAACAGTTTTTTCTAATACTTTTAAAAATGTATGTTGCAGTCGAATGTATGCTGAATTTTTCATCCCTGTTTTTAAAACGTTACATTCTTTCATTGATGAAGTACTGCCATTTAATAAATAATTCTCTGAAATAGATCTGACAACACTGTCCATATTCTTTTATTTTAATTCTCATCACTAGTAGTGCTGCGATGCAAAATCTGCCTGACTCGGTACGACAGAATCTGTCACGAAAATGATACAGGGAGACCCGGAAAATACATTGTATACAATATCTATTCATATATTTCGCCTGTGCTTTTGCCATATTGGCGAGAATCCCACAAGTAATCGGTGACATGATTCAATTTCAATTCCAGCCACTAGTAATGCCGGAATCTGCGTTTCTGTATTATCGATTTACTTTCAAGTGCTTCAGTTACCGTCAGTCAGTTCAAAACGAACTTACTAACGAACGATACAAATTTTACTTCATCGGAGACAAAGGTTCTCTTGCAAGGTTTTATTCGGGAAGTAAAACGATTAGAGTTCGTTGAAATTTTTTAATAAAAGGAATGTTACGTTAACATTAAGGAAACAGGACATGGTTGGTAGGTCTGGTTTGCAGATCAGTTTCCGACAGAACCGGTATAATGTCCAAACTTCCGCTCTCCTCGACGCTCGGTTTCCTGAAGAACAGCTCCCTCAGTAAGGTTCCTTCGGTGCTAGGTTCATCCAGGTCGTTTTTACTCTTGATCCGTACATTTTGTAGACGACGCGAGATGGAATCCTTGTCGAATTCCTCCTGCACCTCACTGGATGATGGGATATTGTTATAGAATAAAATTAAAAAAATTTACAGTCCCTACGTGCACGGAGGATTAATTACTGCTTTTCCGAATTAACCTCTTGATCGCCGCAGTTTTTTAAAGACCGCGTATTTTCAATTTAAAAAAAAAAAGTACTTTTACTAATAAATAAATGATTTAAATATTTTTTACTCACATAATTGGTGAGCCACAATCAATTAGGATATAATTTGCACGAAAAAAAGACACTTGAGTTTCACCAGGGTTGCCACACAATAGATCGAATGCTAAATATTAAAAAAATGAAAAAATATGCACGTTCGTTCAATTTGAAATGTTATAATTTTATAGTCTAAAAAATACACATATATATT